CACAGTTTGCTCCCTCTCAGTGCACAAATGACCTCTCGCCATGTATATTTCCGCTCGCGAGTCCCGTTCACACGCGCGCTGTGGACCCAATTGCGCGTGCACGGGTTGTGGCACGCTTTAAACGCCATAGACCTCAGTTTGTAGGAAAATATGAACGAGTTAACAGCTAGTCAGAGATTCACACAAGCTGTTAACGTGTCCATCTCATAGTGCAGGAGTGTCCTACACTATTGTGGTTTTAGTGATGTCAGTCAGTTCCATTGTCTTGTCAGAAGTGTAGAACCAGCATTTAACTTTTTGTCTCCTAATATTCATATTTAATCTAATTTACTTCAGAGATTGCAAGTTCTGTTGACCTACATACACTTGCTGTTTTGAAAATGCATTCTGCAGCTGGTTTGTATCCTGTTCAGTTCATTTTTTGTTATTCTGCCTGGAACGTATGGTAGCTCACCTGTTCAAAAAGAATATGGTTTTGAAAACAGTTTTCTTACGCACAGCAATTTCTATTATCAGTATCAACAAATAAAAACTAAACTGAAACTAAAAAGTAGATGAAACTAAAACTAAACAGAACAAAAAAAAACTTGAAAATAAAGACTAATGAAAATGCTTAACTATTCAAATATTGGCAAACCAGTTTATGTATATTAAAATGTAAAATTTCCAGCGAAGAGGAAAAATTTGAATAAACGATTACAAATATCAATGAAAAAAGATTAATTTGTTAATAGACTACATAAAATTTGATTCAAAAAAAGACAAATGTCACAGGTGCCTTTAACAGAGCTTTGGAATTAGCGTATGTGTTCAGTGAGTGGGTGACACATTTTTTTCAGTGCAGTGGTCTCTAGTAGGATTGAATACCTCGTAAATGGTTCTCGGGGGAACAAATATACTGTTGCACCATTTCTCAGACCTAAAATGTTCCCACATATCAGCTGAGCTTCAGACGGTGGGTTTTGGAGTCATATTTCCTGATATGTGGACATCTCGCCCCGGACTGGATAACAGCAATGCAACTCTACCACTGACTTGCAACATGGATATTTTATCTCTCAAAATACACGAGCCTGGAGGACCTCCTGCTGTGAGGTGTAGTTGCTAATGCTGACAGTTAGCTTAAACTAGCCGAGACGTCCACTGCTGATTACCGGATGTTAAAACAACAACAGACTTCCCTGTCGTGAATCAAGATCGTCGAGTCCATGAATGCTAAATCACAGTGTGACACAGATCTGTGACGATTTTCAAATACAGGAGTTTCATCTTCTATTTTCTATCAGAAGCTAATGCAGGAGAAATGTGTAGGAGACTATTTTCATGTTCAGCCTGCATGAAAAACTCAGAGTGATCAATTGTAATTAAAAAAATAATTATTATTTTTTTAGTCTGTCAACCACACCTTAAACTTAGGGATTAAAGATAAACAGAGTCCACAATTAGACATAAAAAGCAATTTTGCCTTTTTTTTAATACTTTTTCCATCAACGCTCATCCTAAAGATATTTCTGTACATGTGTCACACTGGGCTAGTTTATGCCTAAGGTATATGTGATTAAATGTAGTCAAAATCTCAATTCTTCTCAACTTTAAGAAGAAGAAAAAACATACATTTTAATGTATACAAACTCGTGTGAATTTTTACACGAGAAGTTAAAGACAATATCTGGCTGAATCTCATACAGACCAAACTTGGAAAATACTTTTCACTTGTGTTGAGTTCTCATGTGTTTAGTCAAGTCACTACTGTCAGTATAACATTTACCACAAGTGTTACATGGATATGGTTTCTCACCTGTGTGAGTTCTCATGTGTTTAGTCAAGATATTACTGGCAGTAAAACATTTACCACAAGTTTTACATGAATATGGCTTCTCACCTGTGTGAGTTCTCATGTGATAAAACAAGTTACTACTGGCAGTAAAACATTTACCACAAGTGTTACATGGATATGGCTTCTCACCTGTGTGAGTTCTCATGTGTTTAGTCAAGATATTACTGGCAGTAAAACATTTACCACAAGTTTTACATGAATATGGCTTCTCACCTGTGTGAGTTCTCATGTGTTTAGTCAAGATATTACTGGCAGTAAAACATTTACCACAAGTTTTACATGGATATGGCTTCTCACCTGTGTGAGTTCTCATGTGATACATCAAGCCACTACTGGCAGTAAAACATTTACCACAAGTTTTACATGGATATGGCTTCTCACCTGTGTGAGTTCTCATGTGTGTAGTCAAGTTACTACGGGCAGTAAAACATTTACCACAAGTGTTACATGGATATGGCTTCTCACCTGTGTGAGTTCTCATGTGTTTAGTCAAGTTACTACTGCCACTGAAACGTTTACCACAAGTTTTACATGGATATGGCTTCTCACCTGTGTGAGTTCTCATGTGACGACATAAAAAACACTTGTGACTGAAAGATTTTTCACAGAGCTTACAATAAAATGGACTCTCACCTATGTGAGCCCTCTTGTGCTTTTTTAGTGTCTGAAAATCTACATCGTCCCTGTGATCTTCGCTTCGCAGACGTCTTTTATTACGTGTCAGTTCTTCATTGGTGTTTGATTCTGAGTTTTCTTTCCTGCATCCACCCTGATGTTGGTTCTCTGCTTCTGTAGAATTCTGACTCAAGGGTTGGTTCCTGTTGGGTTCTGGATCATGGCAGTCTGTTTCGTTAGAAGGAGAAGTCTCTACGAAGGTTACATGTTTTTGCTTCAAAAGGAACTGCCCTTCATGCTGATGGATAAAGAGTTCTGGCTGGTCCTCTGTGATCAGTGGATGTTCTGGTTCCTCCTGGTCCAAATTGGAGATTGACTCTTGGTCAGAGAGCTGCTGGTCAGTCAGAATCTCTTCTTTTTCCCAGATATGATGCTGTGGAAGTTCTGGACAGGTAAAAAGAAAAAGAAAAATGTTGAGTAATGTGGCAATCAATCATGTTCCAATGAAGGCAGGAAGTTCAGGGCTCTAGAATGGGATGATTCTGGTCACAAATGTGACTCAATTTGTCAATGATGCACTTAAATATCTACACTCAGGTTGCACCAGACGAATAGTTAGAGAGATGCTGGTCTGTCAGAACCTTCTACTGTGGAAGCTCTGGACAGGTTAAAATAAAACTGGAAAACTTTGAGTGAAGTAACAATTACAAAAGGAATATATATATATATATATATATATATATATATATATATATATATATATATATACACCACTAAGTTGTAATCATCTGATGCATCTAAAATGCATCTCAATAATTCAAATTTTTATCTTAATTATGATCTGGGTTTTAAATGATCATTAAAACTGACTGAGCCGATTGTTAGCTCCTCCCTCATGCTTACTCTTGCGCTGCTCTGAGTGGCAAATCAAGCGCAGCTCTCACAGCTCCAACCACTTTCCATTTTAGTGCGAGCTGCAAACACATCTCAAACAAGTGAGAAGACTTGAGGAATACTTGGCAGAAGTTGTTTTGAGGAGAGGATAATGGATGCAAAATGAAAGATGTTCGTGGAAAATAGTTAAAACGAATTCGGTGATGTAGAAACATCACGGGTTCGAGGAGTCAGACCTGGATCAAGTAACAATGGTGTGTAAACATTGCTACGCTGTTGTAGCTGCACCGCAGAGCAAAATTACAAATGTAGTCAATAATTTGAAGACTGCTCACAAAGTGTCTTATGATCAGGCAATGAAGGAGTATAGAGGAAAAAAACCTCTCAACTCCTGCTTCATCCTCACAAACCTTAATTCATGCTACCCTGTACAACGTGACCTGAAGTCCCACCAGCTCCCAGAGAGTCGGAGTAACTCATACTGGGGCAGATCGGCCCGACTAGTTTCCACAGGCATGGTTCGGTATTTTTCCTGTACTTTCTCCCTTATTTTTAGTCCATGCTCCATTGAGGTACCTGGCAAGGCAGAGTTGGGCCAATATCGTGAATCTTGATGCTGATTGGCTAGGGTCGGATTTACTGGTTTCTCCAGAGTTTTGCCCCCCACCACCCCCACCCCCGCGCTTTTCAGGGCGCACCGACAGGGGCAGCAAGCCCAAACACCGACTAACAACTGTACAGCAACTGTTGATAAAATTTACTGGAGCCACCCATGCCTCTCGCATGCAAATAACTCCACCCCGCGAGAATTCTATTCGAGCCAATCAGCACTGAGATAAACCACACTTTGAGAGAAGTCTTAATCTCACCTGGACTCCTGCTCGTTTACCCCTTTTCCTCCGATGTTTTCCCGGGATCAGATAAACATCACTGGAGGCGTTCAGGTAGGAATAAGCGTTTGGCTCCGGGCCAGCGAGCTGCTCAGGTAAACAGACATGGAGGTAATTATTCGGTGCATCTTGGACGATTGCGGACAAACGGAAGGACAAGAGTCTGGTAGACGGTAGCCGGGACACTACCAAAGAGGATCGCGGACAGAAGCAAGGCGACAAGGAGAGGCGACAAGGAGAAGGTAAGTAGAGAAAAGTTTGAAAACGTGGTCAGTGTCCGCGGCTAATCCAAGCACAGGCACCATCCCGCTACCGACCCGGATATGGGAAAGGGAGATTAGAATGCTAATTGAGTAATAAGTATAATCTGATCTCATGTTTTTAAAATGATGACATCAAATGGACAAAAAATAAGAAGTTATGGGAAAATGCTGGTATTTTAAAGACAAAGGGGAAAAATGTAAACAAACAACTAGATTGCAAAATAACAAATTGTAGACACAAACTGATGACATTATTTTCCTGATATAGAGGGTTTAGTTAGTTGTCAGAAAATGTAACAAGTTAATAAAATACCGCGATAATAATGAAAACCATGATCACTTTGGTCACAATAACCGCGAGGTTACATTTTCACACCGTGACAACTCTATTACAGGGAGTGCAGAATTATTAGGCGAGTTGTATTTTTGAGGAATAATTTTATTATTGAACAACAACCATGTTCTCAATGAACCCAAAAAACTCATTAATATCAAAGCTGAATGTTTTTGAAAGTAGTTTTTAGTTTTAGCTATTTTAGGGGGATATCTGTGTGTGAAGGTGACTATTACTGTGCATAATTATTAGGCAACTTAACAAAAAACAAATATATATCCATTTCAATTATTTATTTTTACCAGTGAAACCAATATAACATCTCCACATTCCCAAATATACATTTCTGACATTCAAAAACAATACAAAAACAAAGCAGCGACCAATATAGCCACCTTTCTTTGCAAGGACACTCAAAAGCCTGCCATCCATGGATTCTGTCAGTGTTTTGATCTGTTCACCATCAACATTGCGTGCAGCAGCAACCACAGCCTCCCAGACACTGTTCAGAGAGGTGTACTGTTTTCCCTCCTTGTAAATCTCACATTTGATGATGGACCACAGGTTCTCAATGGGGTTCAGATCAGGTGAACAAGGAGGCCATGTCATTAGTTTTTCTTCTTTTATACCCTTTCTTGCCAGCCACGCTGTGGAGTACTTGGACGTGTGTGATGGAGCATTGTCCTGCATGAACATCATGTTTTTCTTGAAGGATGCAGACTTCTTCCTGTACCACTGCTTGAAGAAGGTGTCTTCCAGAAACTGGCAGTAGGACTGGGAGTTGGGCTTGACTCCATCCTCAACCCGAAAAGGCCCCACAAGCTCATCTTTGATGATACCAGCCCAAACCAGTACTCCACCTTGCTGGCGTCTGAGTCGGACTGGAGCTCTCTGCCCTTTACCAATCCAGCCACGGGCCCATCCATCTGGCCCATCAAGACTCACTCTCATTTCATCAGTCCATAAAACCTTAGAAAAACCAGTCTGGAGATATTTCTTGGCCCAGTCTTGACGTTTCAGCTTGTGTGTCTTGTTCAGTGGTGGTCGTCTTTCAGCCTTTCATACCATGGCCATGTCTCTGAGTATTGCACACCTTGCGCTTTTGGGCACTCCAGTGATGTTGCAGCTCTGAAATAAGGCCAAACTGGTGGCAAGTGGCATCTTGGCAGCTGCACGCTTGACTTTTCTCAGTTCATGGGCAGTTATTTTGCGCCTTGGTTTGTCCACACGCTTCTTGCGACCCTGTTGACTATTTTGAATGAAACGCTTGAATGTTCGATGATTACGCTTCAGAAGCTTTGCAATTTTAAGACTGCTGCATCTCTCTGCAAGATATCTCACTGTTTTTGACTTTTCTGAGCCTGTCAAGTCCTTCTTTTGACCCATTTTGCCAAAGGAAAGGAAGTTGCCTAATAATTATGCACACCTGATATACGTAGGGTGTTGATGTCATTAGACCACACCCCTTCTCATTACAGAGATGCACATCACCTAATATGCTTAATTGGTAGTGGGCTTTCGAGCCTATACAGCTTGGAGTAAGACAACATGCATGAAGAGGACAAAATACTCATTTGCCTAATAATTCTGCACTCCCTGTATGTTCCAGTCATGAGTAATTTATATTTCAGTATGCTAATGTTTCTTGCATTGCATCATGGGAATTTTGGGCAAGAAATTATGTATTTTACTTATAATTTGGTTGGTTTACTTACTAATTGTGACCACTTACAAAACATTACAATCAATGTATCGAAATATGATTATGATTCATTGAAGAAACAAGCCATAACCAATTATAGTGGAATGCAGTTTTGTTTTTTTACCGCGGCACCAGCGGTAGATCCAAACTTAAAATATAGTCAGGATTCTAAAATTAACTCTAAAGTTAACGGGTAACCAGTGCAGAGACGTTAGAATAGGAGTGATGTGAGCTCTTCCGTTTGCTCCAGTTAGGAGCCTCGAGGCTCTAACTGCAGATTTGATCGCTCCCGATCCAGCCCTAAAATAAAGCTGATTTAACTAAAATGAGCAGTTTCAAGAAGTCCCTTATTGTGACATCACAGTAAGGAAAACAAACATAGCACCCCCCCCCCCCTCACCTGTTGACCCCGGAGCAGCAGCAGCTCTGATCTCAGCCTCAGGAAACAGTGACAAAAGGAGTTGGTGTCTGTCTGGTTCTGCTTCATCGTGGTCTCTTTCCTCACCAGCAGGAGTCACAAGGGAGGTCACCGTCTCCTGCTTCAGTACACACTGCTCTTCATCCTGACTGATGCAGAGCTCCTCTTGTTTTACAATCTGCAAAGGTTCTGGCTCATCCTGCTCCACTTTCATCTGTGGAGGTTCTGGTCCCTCCTGTAAAGGTTCTGCTTGTTCCTGCTCCAAACTGGAGGTCCTCTCCTGGTTCCAGAGCTGCTGGTCAGTCAGAACCTCCTCATCTGTCCTGACATAATGCAGTGGGAGTTCTGGACAGACAAACAGACCAAACAAAAAGCTGAGTCATGTGACAATAAGAAAGCACACTTCACTTGAACCATCTGATGCATCTGAAGATGTTTTAGAAAACAATGAACTCTTAACCTGTGTGTGTGTGTGTGTGTGTGTGTGTGTGTGTGTGTGTGTGTGTGTGTGTGTGTGTGTGTGTGTGTGTGACTGGACTCAGTATCTATCAGACTGACTCGTTTAACAAGTCTCTGAGTGTAGAACATCAGCTGGAAACGTTCACCAAGTCTTTAAAGTTTGTCTCTTTTAAACTGATTTAGTGGAGTTCCTGAAAATGAAAACTTCCTAAAATCCCTGAAATGTTATTGATTTGTTTCTCTAAAGTGGAACAAAGTTTACCACAGACTGATTTAAGCTCAGTTGTGTCAAAAAGCTTCAGAACAGCAAACGGATCCAAGCAGACTGTCCTGAGATTGTGTCCTGTGACGACCTCTGCCCTGGCAAGCCTAATGCAGCTGACGCACTCTCCTGGAGTCTTGAGAACCGCCACAAGAGGACAGCAGAGAGACTGATAGACAGCTGACTCCAATCACATCATCAACACCTGGATCCTATATTAAGCCTCTTGTTTTCATCAGACAGGGAGACACAGTAAGAGAGCTTAGAGCGTTAAAGCTTGTACTCTGTCATTTGAGCACTATTATCTCCCCTCCTTATTAAGCCACTGGGTTCTGTTAAAACACCCTGTGTAAAGTAGCTCATTCCAGTCCTCATATTTTTGGTGGCCCCTTTTAATGGGGTTTTGTTGAGGTTTCTCCCTGGTTAACACCTGTAAGAGCTTGTTAAGTTGTTTATGGTGGCTGGCACACTCCCTATTTTAGAAAGGGGGAGTTTTCTTTAGGTTAATTTCTGGTGTCTTGTTATAAAACTGTTGACCCTTGTGTTAATAAACCCTTTTACTTTACCATTGTTGGAAAACACTCCTCTCCCGACTCTCAGTTGCTTCTCCTCAGTTACCTTAAAGTCTTCCTTACTTCAATTATACTGTGTTCACCCCCTTACCTACTCCTAGACGGAAAGAGGGGATGTAACATAATGGGAGCTCGTCCGGGATTATTGTTCTGAACCTTTTTAGAGTGTTTTACCCTTCAAATGGACGATTATTAGTATTTAAGGTTTTGTGGATACCTACCCCGTAGGTGGTAACGGGTGTTTTCAGTTGGCAAGTAGTAGTGGTTTTGGGTTCATTCATTTTCTTTTCTTTTTATTTGGTGTGACGTGTGCCTTTGTATTAACCTTGTGATGTTTTCACTTAAAGGGTTTCTCGACGCACCTTCGCGGGAAGCGGTCGAGGGGTGCAGGAAACGTGACCTGCTGGAGGTGGCTGCACACCTTGGCCTGAGCGTTACACACGCAACGCTAAAGGAGGACTTGAAAAAGGCTGTGTTGTCTGCCTTAGTTGCTGAGAACCAACTGATGGATGAACACCAAGGTGAAGACGAGAAGGACTCTGAGAAAATGAGCGAACCGGAACTGACGGAGGGGGAAGACATTAAGGATGAGGATATGTCAGCACTTCCTGCTGACGGACCGGAGGCCGCTGCTTCCGGTATGCAAACTCCTGCTGGGCATCGCCAAGGACTTTGTCCCGTTTTGATTCTCCCTCTCTGACTTCCTCAAAAGCTACACCAGAAAGCGTCAGGCTGCAAGTACGTTTGGCTCAGCTAAAATATGCAGCCGAGAAGAAGCAAGTCCAGCTACGAAAGTTGGAATTGGAATTACGTTGTGTGGAAATCGAGTCGCAAACAGCGATCGCCCTGAAGAGAATGGAGTTGGAATGTTTGTCTCTACCCCAATGCAAGGGGCGGTCCCAGGCTTCAGACCAGTCCTCCCATCCCGAGATGCCAGGGACACCACTAGGCGCCACGGAGGAAGACCGAAAGCCGGACATCAGTAAATGCCTTGCGTTGGTGCCGCCATTTTCAGAGACCGAGGTGGACAGCTACTTCCAGCTTTTTGAACGTCTTGCTGCGGCCCTCGGCTGGCCTCGTGAGGTGTGGTCGCTGATTCTACAATGCAGGCTCACAGGGAAGGCACGTGAGGTAATATCGTCTCTTTCAGTTTCTGATAGTTCAGATTATGAGCGTGTTAAAGCGGCTGTGCTAAATGCTTATGAACTGGTGCCCGAGGCTTACCGACAGCGATTCAGAGCTATGTCCCACAAACAACATGAACAAACATTTGTGGAATTCGCCAGAGAAAAGGCTTTGCTTTTCGATAAATGGGTATCTGCCTCTAAGGTCTCCACTTTTAACGACCTAAAAGAGCTGTTCCTCCTAGAGGAATTTAAGAGATGTCTGCCCGAACGCACAGTGCTTTACTTAAACGAGCAGAAGGTAACTACTCTGTCCTCTGCGGCATTACTAGCGGATGAATTTACATTAACCCACCGTGTGGGTGGAAATTACCCCGCTAGAGACACTAATCCTTGCTCTGTGGTGAGACCAGCTCCAGTAGTTTCTGTTTTTAGTCATTCTTGCCCGCCAAGAAGGGTGAACCAACCTAAGTGTTTTTATTGTCATAAAACTGGCCACATAGTGAAAGAATGTTATAAGCTTAACAGAAAGAATGAGCAGAGAGGGTCTCCGCCACGGGAGGTTGGGTTGTTGAACAAGCCCCATGAAGCTAACGGGTTAGCTGTCAAGGATGTGAATGAATGCTTTAGTCCTTTCTTATCATCTGGATGGGTTACGCTGACTGAGGATGCTCCTGATCCTGTACCAGTCACAATTTTGCGTGATACAGGGGCGTCTCAAACCCTGATTTTGGAAAATGTCCTGCCGTTTTGTGAAGACAGTTCAACTGGTGTATCAGTTCTTTTAACAGGTCTGAATGCTGAACCTGTTCCTCACAAAGTGCATAAAATCTACTTATCCTGTGATTTAGTCCAAGGAACCTTTGACGTTGCTGTGTGTTCTACATTGCCTGTAGCAGGAATCACACTACTTCTAGGAAATGACATTGCTGGAGGGAAGGTTACTCCTCCATTGCAGCTTGTGAATGAGCCCATCGAGACCTGTGAGCCGTGTGAGAAGATAAACACTAGACTTTTCCCTGCATGTGTTTTGACACAAGCCCAAAGTAGGAAAAAGGACCCAGAAATAGACATTTCTAGTTTGTTTAATGATGGTAGCAGCCAAAGGAATAAACACTCTGAAGTAAAGGAGGATGACGAGGAGGTTGCTGCAGCAGACAAACCTCCTCCCTCCGCCTGGGTTTCTGTTACAAGGTTCAGTTTAAGAGAAGAACAAAAGAAGGATGAGAGTTTAAAGAAATGCTTTTCTGCCGTTGGAACTCCTGTTAATAAAACGGTTGAATATTTGATAATGGATGATGTGCTGATGCGTCGTTGGGCAAATCCTGCAGCAAAAGGTGCGCCCTGGGGCATAACAACACAAATTGTTACACCCCAGAAATATCGGTACAAAGTTTTAACCTTGGCACATGAAGGTCAGTGGGCAGGTCACTTGGGTATAAGAAAAACATGTCAAGTGCTTTTAGAACACTTTTTCTGGCCTGGAATGAAGAAAGATGTCTCTGCTTTTTGTAACTGTTGCCATGTTTGTCAGCTTGCAGGAAAACCCAACCAGAAACCCAAACCGGCTCCACTGCATCCTATACCTGTGGTGGGGAACCCGTTTGATAACATTGTAGTAGACTGTGTTGGTCCCTTGCCCCGAAGCAAGTCTGGTAAGCGGTTTCTGCTGACAATGATGTGCACTGCTACGCGGTTCCCTGAAGCCATACCACTGTCATCTATTATGGCTAGGTCAGTTACCAAAGCCTTGACGTCCTTCTTTTCAGTTTTTGGGTTACCTCGGGTGCTACAAACCGAACAAGGATCTAACTTTAAATCTGATTTGTTTAAAGGAGTGGCTAAAACCTTAGGCATTCAGCACGTCACTTCTTCCACATACCACCCTGAGAGTCAGGGGGTTTTAGAGCGCTGGCATCAGACTCTTAAGAGCATGTTAAAAAAGTATTGTCTAAGTACAGGTCTGTCGTGGGATGAGGGGTTCCCCTTTTTGTTGTTTGCCGCTAGAGAAGCCCCACAGGAGTCATTGGGTTATAGTCTGGCACAACTGGTTTTTAGTCATACCCCAAGAGGACCTCTGAAAGCTCTTAAAGAGCAGATTTTACAAATCCCTGACTCGAAGAAAGAAAAGGTAAACCAATACAAAAGCAGTTTAGATGGCGACTAAAAATGGCCAACCAGGTGGCCAGAGACCATTTAGATGTAGCTCAGACACGGATGAAGGTTCACTATGAAACCAAAGCAACCAGTAGAGACCTACAACCGGGCGACCAAGTCCTGATGTTAAACCCGCTCGGGAGTTCTAGTTTGTCAGCACAGTTTACTGGTCCTCATGAGGTTCTGAGTAAGATCAACGCCACCACTTATGTCATTTCCACACCTAACCGCAGACGAAAGTCCAGAGCATGTCATATCAATATGCTCAAGCTTTATCATTCACCTCAGGTGCAGAGCGCACCATCTGAAGCCGCAGTGTGCGCAGCTGCAAGCTTCATGCCTCCCACTGGGGGAGACTTTTCTCTCAAACTGACTGACGGTGTCAGTCCTCGGTTGAAAAATTCCCAAGCGTTGGAACAATTACCTAACACTCTCTCTCATTTAGAGGACCATATGCAAAAAGAACTGGTGGATCTGATTAAACGATATCCGAATCTGTTTTCTGATGTTCTGTCCTGTACTGATATGATATCTCATGAAGTCGATATACAAAAGGTAACTCCTATTAAACAGCACCCTTATCGAGCAAATGCTATCAAACGGGAGCTGATAAAGCAAGAAACGGATTATTTACTGGAACATGGTCTGGCTGTTCCCAGTCGGAGTCCTTGGAGCTCCCCTTCTATTATAGAAAAGAAGCCAGACGGTACTCCTCGGTTCATAACGGATTATAGAAAGGTGAATGCCGTTACGGTACCAGACTCTTACCCG